CTCAGAAGGAGATAAGAAACTACAGCGATTTCGTGACGGGATAAAGGCTCTGATTGTCAACCCGGAGGTGAAGGACACGAAGGCACTGGAGTCGTACCAGAAGAATATAGAGGAAAAAATGGAGGTTTTCAAAACATGTGAACGCGAGACGAAAACGAAGGCATTCAGTAAGGAGGGACTGGCAGCCACTTCACCGCATGAAACTCCGCAGGCACACACGGAGGCGTGGATGAAGTCTGCCATGGAAGACGCACGAAAGCAGATTGAAATTATTGAGTATGACGTGGAACGCAACACGCGTGGTCACCACGGGCGTGGCAAGAACACCGCCTCGGCCGATGCCACGAGGTTGCAGAAACTAAAGTTTCACTTAGGAAAGCTTGAACAGCTTCTCAAGGCGGTGACAAACGGTGATGCCGACCTTGACGAGGTGGGCGACATTGAAGAGCGGGTACAACGGTTCCTGCAGAATGAGACAAATAGCGATGATGACGATGATGAAGAAACCCTCTACAGCGGGTTTGACCTGGAGGACAACCACTGTGAGAAGCAACGTGGTAGCGGGACGGAGGGGGAAGACGCAGCGGGGGCGCAGGATGCAATGAAGAAGTCCGTGACGTCAAGCCCCGCCACCACACGGGCATCGTCGCAGGGTGCCGTGAAGAAAACGACGCCTTCTACAGTTGTCGGCAAGTCAGAGGCAACGAAGCGTCAGGCGGGTACCACGCAGGCGGTGCCAAGAACAGGGAATGCTTCACCTACCGGTGTAGCAAAGTTAACTGCGAGTAGGGATATCGCCTCGGATACGTGGGATGATACCGCGGGGCTGCTGGATGATGAGATGGACAAGGCCAACACAGACACGTTTGGCGACGACGCAATGGACATTAAAGGCCCCGGCTCTTTAGCAGATATGGCAAAAGCAACAAGCAACTTTCCTCGTCTGGGCGACTTGGAAAAGGGCCGCCCCGCGGCTCTAACTGCGCCAGCAGCCGCTCCCGATGCTCCCGTCTCTCCTGTAACAGCAACGGCAATAACAGCAGCAGCGGCGCCTTCCATTGCCCCTTCCACTGCGAGCAAGGCGCAAGCCGCAGAACAACCAGCTGCTCCAGCACCGACAACAAATACAACAACAGCAGCAACACCGGCAGCAGCAGCAGCAGCACAACTCTCTTCCTCCTCTTCACAGCCGCAACGAACGGCGGAGCACAAACAAAGCAGTGCTAGTGCAGCCGCTTCAAGCCATATTATTGTCAACTATGACAAGGCCATGATGCTGCAACTTGTTGACATGTCTTTAGCGAATTTGCCGCATACTCAAGACATTGACCGACAACGTCCCTTTGAGCCGTCTAATCCGACTACTTGCCCCCTTTATTACCCGCAGCAGGTACTTCCAGCGTTAGCCTCACCCGATATATACCGTGAATTTGAGTTGGAAACCCTCTTCTTTATCTTTTATTACCATCAAAATACGTATCAACAGTATTATGCTGCAAAACAGATTAAGGCGCAATCATTTCGTTATCACACACAACTCAATACATGGTTTAAACGCAACGGTCATATGAAGGAGTCTCAAGAGGGAAGTGAACGAGGATCTTTTATATTTTTCAACTACGAGGACACGTGGTCTATAGAAGAAAAGGAGGACTTTACGTTTGACTATCAATATTTAGAAGATCAACTCCGTTGAGGTGTCATGGGTTTTGCAAGTATGTTTATATATATATATATATATATATATATATATAGATGCATACATGCATCCTTGATTTCCTTTTGGATTTTTTTTTTGTTGTTTTTGTTTCTTTCTTTCTTCCCTCTTTTTTTGTTTTGTTTTGTTGTGTCTGTGAGTTTTTTTCTTTGTTTTTTTCTTTTACGTATTTCCCACTTATTCACACACTCAAACGCCTTAAATTTCCTTCTTTTTGTTTTCATATATAAATATATATATATTTTATATATTTTTGTTGTTGTTATTGACGGATGGTGCGTGATTTTTTATATTCTTCTTGCTGATGTGTGTGTGTGTGTCTTGTCCTGCCAGATGATGAGGCCATTTGGTAGCTGAGGGGAAATTTGGGAGAGGGATGTGCCGTGCAGTGACGACAGTTGGGGGGGGGGGGGGG